TCTCTCTCTCTCTCTCTCCCGCCCCAGACACCACTTCCTTTATGTGCAAATTGTTGGACTAGTCAATGTTTCTCTTACGACTTCTATTGAAATGGAACCACATCTAAACCATGTAGGCAATGACCCCGAAACAAAACAAAACACACGACTCATTTACTGGTCAGCACACGGCCATTATAAAAGTTTGGGTGACTTACTTTCAAATGGAACAGCTCCTTAGCACCTGATTCATGATAACATTCAATTCATATCTCTCTTACTTCGCCGCACACTATAATTTCACAGGCTAACAATTTCGTTTCATTGAAATTATAGAGCGAACAACTGTGAATCAGAAATCAAAGAAGCGTGATATAACAATATAATAACCTTCAAATATTGTCTTATGGCCAATCAACTAGCCCCGTACATTGGATTTTCTGAACTAGGAGAAATCCTGTCACAATTTTCTTTCAGTTTTCAACTAATCAGCAATTATGCTACATTTGTCTAACGTCATTCCTTATTTTTTTCAGATAATGAGTAATTAAAGGTACAACAACTATATATAATGGTAGTTGTTTTTTAGCGCTGTAAACTATCATAGTACACTAATAATAATCGTAATAATAATCATATGATAAGTATAGGCGTAGGTGCTGATCTTTTTTTTCTTTTCTTTTTTTTTTTTAACATAAATCAAGGAACACACTATAATGATAAAGCTGAACAACGATTTTCTCGTCGCTAGTTAACACTGGTCGTATCATTATCACTCGTAATGGGCATCACTTGTTTTCTTCTACCAATCAGCGTCCGCGTCCATTGATCCTAGAGGACAGAACACGGTTTGGCACTATCACAAACCGTCAGAAACAAGGACAGTGTATAGCCTTTTGGACAGACGTGTCTGCTGATGGTGTTAAGACACGCAACATTGTCCTAACGCTCACCGAGTTAATGGGACGGGATGGTCGGTCGCCGCGACCATAGAAATGAGACGGAGACAGAGATTGGAACGTGGCACAACGAAATATAAGGGATCAGAATAATGCATTTATTTTATAATAGGGTCTCAGTATTGTCTAAGTCACCTTCACTTCGTTTCGAGAAAAGAGCTCCTACCCCCTCCCCCCAACCCCCACTCCCAAAAAAATCCAGCCAACAAACAAACATAATAAAACCAAACCAAACAAACAAATAAACAAACAAACAAAAAAACCAACAACAGTGGAATTCATTATTAATTTCTTTTTCTTTTTGGGTTTTTTTTTTTTGGGGGGGGGGTTGTAGTGGGAGAGGAGATGCATTTCACAACAGAAGAAATACTTCCTCATTCCTTAAATCTAAAACTAAACAAGGCAGACAACAACATGTTTACTTTAAAGTATATAAATTCGTGTGTCCTGATCTGTGTGTAAAGGTTTGAAATATTAAATAGCTTTTTGTCTGATTCATATCGGGCAGGGGTGCCTTCTTTGTCCTTACAGTTTGACTCCTCGGTAGCTGTTTCAACACTGTTACCAAATCCTAAACTCTCTACTTCACTCATTGTTCCCGCACTTTAATGGCTTTAACATATTATTAGAATATTGTCCGTCTTCCTGGCCGCTGTGGCTCGAGTGGGATTCGAATAGCAAAAAACAAAAACAAAACCAAACAAACAACAAACAAACAATCAAACAAATAAGCAAATAAAACAAACCAAAAAAAACCAACAACCCAATTCAAACAACACGCGAACCGTTTGTAATATCATTGATTTGAAATTTTCTTGTTATTTGTCTGAAGTGGCTTTTCTAGATTTTGTTCTATTTTCGTTCGGTAGTAAAAACTTGGCGCATGCTTCTCTAACATTTTTTCCTGGAAGAATTTTAATAAGCATATTAAGGCAGCTTGGTTAGTGTACGGTTTAACGCCCCTTCTAATCACATTTTGTTATTTTGTTCGAAAGACAGGTTTATAAAATCCGGGATTTCGCACTTCCGGATACGTCACGGGGTTGTTGGTTGTGTTTCTTCCTTTTTAAAAAAAACCTTTACCCCTCTCATTTTTTATTTGTCTTTCATTCCTTTTTTGCACTAAATTACCCGTTATCGTGTCGATGTACTTCACTATACTTAAAAACAAACAAATAGAATATTAAACAAGCAAACAAACAAACAAATTAACAAATTAACAAACGTATATAAAGAAACAAACAGATTGACAACATCCATCGTCCCACCTCTTCGCAAGTTTGTTTGGCATGTTAGTTTACAAACATAATCCGAGATCACGACAGAAAAATCCAAAATAGCCAGCAATTAAACAGTCTCATAACTCCCACATGCTGGATAATATGGGCATTTAAATTCCATTAGTATAAATATTCGTAAATGAATCTCTTTCTCTCTCTCTCTCTCTCTCTCT